TGACTCCCTGAATTCTGTATTAGAGCCTAAATCTAGAAAGACTTATTTTGTGGGAAGCTGCAGTGTACAACTGGAGGCTTAACTCCACGTTGAGTCTTGACCTAAGTTCAGATGCCATTTGAATTCTTTATGTGATCTCTAAACCAACAATGTGGCTATGCTGAGACAAGTCTGGACAAGCCTAGGCAGGGACAGATTGTCCTGAGGAAGAATATGCAGAGAGGTGCTTACACAAAGAACTAGGGAACTTTCCTGGGCATGTTTCTTAGGAATGTTGTTATGTGCCATTGAGTCAGTTCTGATTCATAGAGACACTGTGTAGGGTTTCCAAGGAGTGACTAGTGGATTTGAACCACTAACCTTGGGGTTAAGTATTTACCAAGAATAGCTTGCCCTGTCATCCTTTTTGAGCCCTGGTAACACTATGGGATAAAGCATTGGATCGGTAACTGCAAGGCTGGCAGTTCAAACCCACAGCGGTGCCGTAGGAGAATGGTGAGGCTTTCTGCTTCTGTAAAGATGTACAGCCTTAAAAACCCTATTCTGCGTTGCTATGAGTCAGAATCGACTGGATGGAAGTGGGTTTGGGTTTGGGTTGGTTTGGGTCAACTATTTTAACCTTCAAATATGTGCGTCTCCCTCACTATTCTTTCCTTACTTCTGTGGTTCTGCCTTCCATGGTGATGGATTGATCTGACATCCATCACGGTCTTGTGATAGTTCCTTTGTTCTCTACAGTATCTAATGAACATCAGGACTTGACCAGCTGACTGTTTACCTCCCTCAAGCCCTGCCTTTGTTTCTCTCTTTGTCCTGTGTAAGGCTTAATAAAAGGAGTCCTGTGTGGCACTGTAGAATAAGCACAGGACTCCTAATCACAAGGTTGGAGGTTCACACACACCAATCGCTCCTCGGAAACCCTATATGGAGTCGCAATGAGTTGGAACTGACCTAATGGCACTTAATAACAACAACATAAAACATTGTCTGTTATTTGTACTCAAGTCCTTATCTTAGGACCTGCTTCTAAAGGGACACTGCAGCTTGGGTAGATTCATCTGATTGGCTGTCAGGTCAGATGTCCTTGCAAGAATCGGGCATTTTCAGCTTCTAGGGAGAGGCGTACTCTACTCCCCACCAGTACTTGGGAAGTGGTGTGTTCTTCAGGGTTCCAACAGGAAGTTGATGACTTCTTCAAATTGTTAAAACTCAAGGAGGGTTTATTCATAAAAGGGAGTTTTTACAAAGGTGTGAGAAGTGTAAAGGAGAGTGTAGTAACTCAGCGTGTCTATGAGGCAGCTGCTACCATCCCTTGGTCTGAAGGGACAAGAAGTGGACATGGTTGATGAAGTCGGAAAGGAGAGTCAAGCAGAGGCCTCCTGGAGGGGGCAGTGGTCCTCATAGTCTGGACACTGCCAGCCTAAGGTGCCCTCATTGAGAGAGGCTGAGGGCAGTCAGTACCTCCCTCCACTTTCCTGCCAGGATCCCCCATTGTCTGGCCCAGTCCAAGGGCTGCGAGCCCACTGATGGACTTGCACAGGGTGGAGAAGGATGGAGACAGGACTTGGGGAGCAAATGGAAGATGCCTGGCACAGTGGGAGTTTCCTGAACAAAATAAGGAGGCTCATGTGCGACAGAATGTCTCAGAGTCCATGTGGGGTAGAAGTGAAAATGTCACTTTGCATCCTGAGTTCCGACTGAGGCTTCCTCAGTTGCTGCCTCTTGACAGCAGTGGCCGTTCCTTCTCCTCCCTCCTGCCTTACATTTGTTTCCAAGAGCCTTCCTTTTAGAGTCAGATTTACCTCTCTAAAGTGTGGTGGCACCATACAATAAACACTGGACTATGAACCACAAGGTCCACATTCGAGCCCGCCAGCTGCTCCACGTGAGAAGATGAAACTTGCTGCTTCTGTGAACATTTAAAGCTCCTGAAACCCTATACAAGATTACTACAAGTTGTAACTGACTTGATGACACTTAACTACAACCACAAAGTTGTGTCAAAAGAATGAACAAATCTGTCTCGGAAGACTTAGAGCAGCCAGGATGGCCTTGGAAGTGTGGATGATGACACTTCACCTCTCATATTTCAGGAGGGACCAGTTCCTGGAGAAGGATGCCATGCTGGGTAAAGCAGAGGGTCAGC